CCCCCATAGTCGCGGTGTCCTCTGTTCTTAGAAGAATTAGAGGTGGGAAGGAGGAGAAGTGGGAGAGAGAAATGACAGAATTCACACACAAGGAATGGCCACCTTTCCGAATCTATGTTATCACTTTTACGCTTAACGCCACAAATATCACAAACCTGTTTGATCATGCTCGAAGCACTTTTTCTCATGTAAGGATTGAAGTATGAGATAGCTGCAGTGAGAAAAGTTACAAGAATAACTTCGTAGATTGGATTGCCACCGAGAGTTTTCGATGTCTTACGGAAGCGAGACCACCTCAAATACGAATCTATTCAGATTTTTGATGGAAACGAAGAAAGATGAACGAGCAAAGGATCGATAAGATAAAAGCACTGCTCGCTATGCAATCCACATACCTTATGTTGCCAAAGATGAATAGACTTCCTAGTATACCTCCAAAAAGGCCTAAACAAGCAAAAGGAATGAGCTCCACGAATGTCCACTTCATCATATAGTCGACATGGAAGAGCGATGTCTGTAAATTGAGAGCACAGATGTCTTCACAGTAATCATCCACGTATTTGGAACAAAAAGGGAGCAAGTTCACAGCCCGGACTGTACTGAAGAAAGATAAAACTAATGAAGTCACACCTGATCACTGCCAAAAGGATTCACGATACGTAGAATAATTCCTGCAACCAGAGCGCAGAAGAATGACCTCCACATAGTCTTCAGTGGGAAGTAGTATGACGCCTCCTCCAAGCTACAATCACTCTTACAGAAACAGAACAATTGAGAAGCGAAAATCAATTCTACCTGAACAGCACACCACCAATTGGAGCACCAAACGCAACGCTAACACCAGCCGCAGCAGATGCACTGAGAATCTCCCTTTTCTTGGCCTCATTCATACCGTATTTGGGGAAAAGGTAGGAGAATATGTTGCCAATGCAACACGCCAGATGCACCATGGGGCCTTCTTTACCCAGTGAAAGGCCTGAAAATAAGAACAAATTTTTTAAGGCACATGGATTCTCAGTGGGCTCTCAAAAAGTCAAGAATAAACCGAAAAATAGTAAAAGATTTCTAAGTTCATACCTGAAGCAGATGCTAGAATAAGCCCTACGGACTTGATTATGAAAGTCCATTTCCCTAGGTAACCGCGAATAACGAAGCCGGATAGAATACATTTTATCTCTGGTATACCAGAACCACATGCGTATGGTGCAAATACCTACAAAATTTATGCAATTTTCCAAGATGTGTATAAGCAAAAGGCAAAGTGAGATACCTTCACAAACACGACCGCCAGCGTAGCCATGAGAACAGCCCAGCCAACATAAAAAACAAATTCCAGAACGTAGAAAAAAGGATTTTTTCCATAATAATTCAGCATCTCCGGCCATGCCGTCCAGGCGCTACAGTCAGAGTCCTTAAAAGGTCTCCGCTGATTTCCACACTTGCATTTAGAAAAGAAATCGGAAACATATTGAAAAGAAAACCGACCTTATATACTGTATCATTTGAAGACCAGCAACAGTGTTCACGATCTAACCAAAATCGATCCGCGCAAACACCATCCTAATGTATTCGTTACAAAAGCCTAGCCTACTCATGAATACACAAAAAGAACGACGATCGATTCGAATATCATACCTTCAAATCACTCATCCATCGAGCGCCGATATCGATTACACCAGCTGAGGCACCAGCGGCAAGTCCTACCTGAATAGGTAGAAATCTAAGTTAGACAATAAAAAATGTTAGATATCACACCCTTCCACAAAAGAAAACGAAAACATAGCACAAATACCATTAGGACGCAAATCCACCCTGCTCCAGCATCCCAAGCACTTTGCAAGATACCCCATGGAAAATCTGCTCTGAAATGAAATGGTCCAATCGCACATAAGCACAGCAAGCAGTGGATTTTTAGGTTATAGGAAACACCAACAACATATACGATAAGAGAGCAACCTTGTAGCAATATTTAACCAACCTTTTCCCAACGATTAATTTATGTCGCAACCGATCTCTTGCAAGATCACGTTGCCAATCTATCGTGTGGAAGTCGCCGTACTTGCTGAAAAGTGCAGAATCCATTTAAATGTAGGCCGAATGCGTTTGAAGACACGACATTTCGCTGACCACGCCTACCTGAACAGAGGTGGTGCGTTGTCTATAGAGAATTCTTCTTCTTCACGGTCCTGGGAATGACCGGCGGAGTTGAAAGATGCATAACCACCTGAAGTACTAATGTTGACAAATCGCCCCAAATAATTCTGTCATGGCAAAATCATTACAAGAAGAAACTTCGATCAAGCAGGAGGCGATAAAACAGAAAATCGAATACCTCCACCTGTTTCAACATGAACGAGTGCGGGCTCATCTATCTCGACTTCATCCAGAGAAATCTCCCTGTTGCGGCGTTCCATCTTGTAAAAAAAAACTCTTTGGAGAAAATTTATATGTGCCTACAGACACAACTTTGCAAAATCCTTCACATTTGTTTAACGAAGAAAAGAGAAATTACCTGAATCCCTCGACGATTCAAAGCAGAGGAGTGGACCGTTCGTGTGGGTGATGATATGAGCGACTCTGACTCTGGCTCCTCCTACAAGGCGATCTAGTGAAATACAAAAATGAAAAAGAATATATAAAAATAAATTATGCTACACACACAGAGAATAAACAAATAAGTTGATATTTCAAAAGAAAACCACAAGTTGGCAAACAATGTTCATGTTGGATAGTTTAACAACTTTTAAAGCCAAGTAAAAAATGCTGAAGGAGTTTTTCAGTCGAGTTCACATGCCTAAGGCCGATGTCAGACTTTGCGAATCGCGCGATTCGCTAGCGTCTGCGGTCGCGTCGCGGCCAGTGAATCACTCAATTGGCTGGTACCGCAACGCGACCGCGGACGCTAGCGAATCGCGCGAATCGCTAGTAGCGAATCGCGCGATTCGCAAAGTCTGACATCGGCCTAAGGGCGCATTCATAGTCGGTCGTAAGATCGTAACGATCGCACAGCGTTACACATGTATCGATCGTCCAATCTCGGACACGTCTGACGATCGATACGCTGTGTGACCGTTCGATTGCTAATCGGACGACCGACTATGAATGTTCCCTAACTGCGTACATTACCAGGGGACTTCTGTTTTGTTACACTCATTCACTCAACCCTCCTTGATCGTTAGTGACTCACTGACTTTTACTTGCCCATACAGGGTGGCTACTATGTATTGGCGAATGGTTTATTGACCATTTCTCCACAAAGAGAAGCCATCAAGTCTTCAGAATTATGCTTTTATATACAATAAAACAGAACAGTGCAGTGCTAAAGATGTGCTACGAAAGGCCTCTTCGGGCAACGATACAGCGTTTAATTCTCTTCGGGCTACTGACCGAACGTAGAAGAAAGAGATGGAATTGCTGTATCGTTGCCTGAAGAGCCCCTCCGAACAGCTTTTAGTACTGAACTGTTCGTTTTTATGCATATAAAAGCCATACTCCTTGAAGAATTTATTGCTTCCTCTTGTGAGAATGCCTAATAAAAGAGATTTCCAATACATATTGAGCACACCGCCTGGTTATTTGGCAAGTATAAGGTCACTGATCACTCACGATCAAAGAGTGGTTTCAAAGTAATGAGTGTAAAAACTAGAAGTCCTCTTACCATACCAGTTAGGGAACATTCAATAGTCGGTCGTTCCGGATTTAGAAATACGAAGTGAGGGACAGGCGTAAGCGTATCGTCAGACGTTGTACGAGATGGATCATCGAGTACATGTTAAAGCTCTGTGCGACTCGTTCGATCATACGACCAGACTATGAATGTCGCTTAGCCGATGTCAGAGTTTGAATCGCGCGATTGCGTGCTAATGATTCGCAGATGTCGCTAATCGGTTCGACGGTCGCGTTGCAAAAAGGTACCACCAATTGAGTGACAACTGCCAGCTGAACGCGACATGCGCAACGCTAGCGAAGCCGCATCGGCAAAGTCTTGACATCGGCCTTAGCAATGTAAACCTCGACTGAAAAACTCCTCCTCCTATAGCATTTTTTTTCTTGGCTTTTAAAGGGTGTGATATTGAGTCGCTATCCACCATGAACTGTTGCGCAACTTAGTGTTTTCTTCGAAAATATCAATCTCTTTTATTTCTCTAAATGTGTGTTCAGCAATAATTATTGTTCATATATTTTTTTCATCTTTTGTATTCACAGATCGCCTTGTAGAGACCAGATTCAGAGTCGCTCATGTGAGCGACTACACATAGAACAGAAGATATACGAAAACAGCCATTGGCGGTGATCGGTGTGGGTTCGGAGAACGAAGGTCCAACATCTTGGCTGCTTGAGAGGGTCGGGGAGGGATCAGGTAATTTTTCTTTCTCTAAACAAATGCAAGATTTTGCAAAGGTTTTAGCCATATATAAATTATCTCTGGGCAAAAGAGTTTTTTTACCAGATGATCCGAAGCTTTCTCGCCACAGGGGAGATATTTACGTATAAGTCGAGATAGATGACACGCACTCGTATCACGTTGAAAACAGGTTGGGATTTACGATATTCTGTTTTTCGCCTCCTGCTATCGATCGAGTTTCTTCTATGTAATGCATTTTGCCATATTGACAAGAACTATTACTGGGGCGATGTTCACATTAGTTATCTCAAGCTTATGCATCTTTCAACCTCTGGCGTCATATCCCAGACGTGGAAGAGAAGAATCTCTATAGACAACGACCCACCTCTTCAGTAGGACGTGGTAGGGAAATTCGTGTCTTGGGCATTCGGCCTACACTTAAATGGATTCAACTTTCAGCAAGTATCCCCGCGGCTTTCACACGATAGATGCAACGTGATTTGCAAGAGATCGTTTCGACCATAAATAATCTGGAAAAGTTTGTTAGATATTGAACAAGGTTGCTCCTTATCGTATAAATGTTGTGTTTCCTATAACCTGAATCCACTGGCTTGCTCTTCCGATCTTATACGAAGTTATTACAGAGCAGATTTTCCATGGGGTATCTTGCAAAGTGCTTGGGATGCTGGAGCAGGGTGGATTTGCGTCCTAATGGTATTTGTGCTATGTTTTCGTTTTCTTTTCTGTGGAAGGGTGTGATATCTAACATCTTTTATTGGCTAACTTATTATACTATTCCGTTAGACTTTCCGCGGTGCCACGCTGGGACATCGATACGCGCCCTATGAGATATTTAAGTATATATTGAATCGATCGTCGTTCTTTTGTGTATCATATAGGCTAGGAACGCTTACACTGTAAGTATACATTAGAGGTTTTTGCGCGATCGATTTGCTGGTTAAATCGTGACACTGTCTGTCTTCAAGATAACATAAATAAGTCGGGCTTTCTTTTCACATATGTTCCGATTTCTCTTTTAAATCAAGTGAAATCAGCGGAGACCTTTTAAGGACTCTGACTGTAGCGCCTGGACGGCATGGCCGGAGATGCTGGAATTATTATGGAAAAAATCCTTTTTTCTACGTTCTGGAATTTGTTTTTTATGTTGGCTGGGCTGTTCTCATGGCTACGCTGGCGGTCGTGTTTGTGAAGTAATCTCAACTTGTTTTTTTGCTTATGCGCATCTGGAAATTGCTAATTTTGATAAATTTTCGCCAAAAAAGCTGCACATACGCTGACCGGTTTTGAAACCACTGCCCTGACAACTTGAAAATTTACCCCTGATCTTCCCTTGTGTACTGTTCCACTTCCCCCATGTTCCGTTTGCTGAAAGATATATCTTTTTTGGCTGGAACGTAGTGACCCGGCTGCGCCCAACGGTTAGATAAGGCCTCGTGGTTTTCGCCTAATGTCGATCGTCACCGATGGGGAACGAGCCGACTTAAAGCGAATTGAACCCCTGTTTTACTTCGTTTTCTAACCTCCGGTATCTCGCCAATATGGGTTTCCTTTTCCTGCCGCCAGGCCCCTGGTCTTCTTAACGAACTCTCCGCCGCCGCCCCCCCTTCCTTGAACTCAAAGCCGTCCTCACCCACCGTGACGCTTGAATTGTTCTTAGTCGAGCGGCTTAACCTGGCCAAGCATTGAACTAAATATAAAAACCGTGGGCCGCAAGTAAGTGACGTGACGTGACGCGAAATCTTCACACTGGAAGTGGCGCACAATTCTCAAAAGGACAGGCAATTGTTGGATCCGGCTAGCAGGCACATTCTGCTCGACGTTGTGCGCACACAAGGAGCCGATTTCCAAAATCTGTCATGATTTGGGCAGGAATTACTTCCGAAACCGAGACACCGCTTGTCTTTGTGGACAAATCCGTCAAAATTAACGCCCAGATCTACCAGGAAACAATTTTACGTGATGCTCCTTCCATGGACTGTTTCGACCTCCAGCAAATGTCAGTGCCTTCTTCAGCAAGACTAGGCGCCTCCCATGCCGCAAAATCTACGCTGGAGTTCTGTGACCGCCATTTTCCAGGTTACTGGTCACAAGATGTTTGGCCATCTAACTCGCCCGATTTGAACCCAATGGATTTCGGTGTGGGGCTTCTTGCAGCAGAAGATGCCTTCTGAGCAACATCGAAGTTTGGACTCCCTGAAGGCTTCCTTGGAAGGCGTGGAAGGGACGTCAGCTACTTGCGGCCCACGGTGATGTCAGTTGAGAAGAGACTTGAAGCCTGTATCGCTGCCGAAGGAGGCCATTTCGAGCACCTTCTTCAGTAATGAATTGTATGTTTTACTGTATATAAAAATAAACTTCTGAAGATGTAATACTTTTTGGAAATATGGTCAATAAACCATGCGCCAATATTTAGTAGCCACCCTGTGTGCTTTTCCGCTCCCAGTCCTACGTGACATCTTGAGACAAACACAAGACGTCATTTCTTTATTTACCTATTCCGTTCTCTCTTATCAACATATAAACCGCAATCTTGACTACCCGTGTTTCTTGTTTCGAAGCGTGTCAAATCATTCACGACGTCTATCATTTGAAAAAGTAGAAGCTTTCATTTCGACAAATGTGCGATATGCGTCGATGAATTCAAAATATATGCATAAAAAAGAAATGCTTTAGAAAAGAAAAGTGAATTGATAGATTTGCGACGTGAATACGGGGCACAAAAAGCAAAGCTTTTCCGTTACTTGAATGTAGTGTGAACAGCTGTTGAACAATACACGAGAAAAAAGAATGACAAGAGCGATGGAGACATAAAAGTGCTTCGCACGACGCTTCTCATTAAAGATGTGAGCGGATGCCACGTTTTCATTTTCCACTTACATATTGAGCTATTCGACATCAAGTTTGAAATTTTGATATGCAAGTTTGCAATGTCGAAGTTAGGGTCACTTTATATGGAAATCGAAGCGCTCGCTATTAATATGTATAGATTTACCTATTCCGACTTGTCCACTGTTTTTCTACAACAACCACTATTTCCCCGACTATTCC